TGGCCCGGCACAAGTGAACGTTAGACCCGGTGTGCAATACAACACTAGCGAAACGTATATGCGCTATGAAGGAGATGTGAATGTTCCTTCTTATAGTCACTACCACCAAGCTGAGGTCAGTGTAGTCTGTAGCATCTGTCAACTCGTTTTGATCCTTGTGTTCCTTTCTTTAGGTGCCCGCTCTTGGTGTCAGCCCGTTTCCCGTTCACCAGCAAAACGGGGTGAGTATTTTTCGAACCCTTTGTGACCTGTAAAATAACTGAATTCCATTTGTTTTATTTGCTTCACAATCTTGTTAGCTGCAGACGCTCGGTGGTTTCGGGAAGGCTGGGTTTGGTGCAGCGTCTGGCAGACGACCACCAACTGTGATCGCCTGCCAGCTTCCACAGATGGTGGATAACAGGCTGGCGCCGCGCCAAATCCAGTCCTTCTGAAACGCGTGCTAACGGGACTGTACTTCTTGTGATAGCTGGTTTAACTGCTGTGTTTGGATTTGTAGTGCAGAAACCATATCATCTTTACATGACACAGCCTCTGTTCTAGTGGCCTTGTAATGGTCAGGTTACGGCCTCTATGCCACTGACTGCATACCCAGCAAATTTTCTTCTGAAGAATATTTTTAGGCTTGTTTTATTATGGTACCTGTTGTTTACCAGAGCAGTTCGCGCTTTGAAAGCTGTAACACGAGCGCTGAGTTATGGGCAAAAATTTTGAAAGTTCTCCTGGAATCTCGTTCAGTGCCTATGCATGGGCGCTCAAGGGGGCGGGGTTCGGCAGCCAGCCAGTTCCTCACCTACTGTTGTGGTAGAAAGCGACAATAATTCATGAGAAACGGGCTGGCGCCTTATCACACCCAGTCCCCGCTTGATTCGTCTTAGCATCAGATAATAAGACGTTACCTTTCCTCTGATGGCTATGGATTGAAAGTCATGGAAGCGGCCCTGGTGGCATAACGGATAGCGCACTGCCCAGAGAGTGAGATCTGGGTTTAATTCCCGCCTGGAGTCAGAAAATTTGCCGATAAAAAAGTACTCTTGTGATAATCTCAGGTTGTTTCGTTTCTCAAATGCAGCAAACAGTGAGCTGCTCCGGATCCTTGGCAGTGTCGTATCTGCACTTCATTGAAAGTTGCGTGTTCTAGCCCACATTTCCTTCAGATGAAACATAATAGAAGTTTTTTTTTGAAAATGAAATGAGAATGAGGCATAGTATTCATCTGTCGACAGCTTCTATTTCTTCTACCGTGTCTACTGAAGTTCATCACCTATCTATTAACTGCCAACAATATATTTCTCTCAGGTTCCTTCGATGCCTCAAGCTCAGATGGGATATTCTCAAGTTCCCTATGAATATCCTATGCATGGAAGCGATTATAACAATAACATGACCTTTCGAGGTAAGCGATCGACTCTTTTAGCCTACACTCCTATTAGTTCAATTCAAGCAGAGGCATACAGATATAGAAACTACTAAAGGGACACAATTATGACTAACAAGCTTTAAAATTGACGAATTTGATTTGGTTATAGACGTATTAGGAACAGAAGCAGTGGATGGGGAGTCAGCTGTCGACGGAGGAATAGTGAAGAGACGTAAGCGACCCAGAAAAGTGAGAACAAGCGACATTATGGCGAGAAGGTGAATGGTTGGAACGATGAGAATCCCAATCCGCCCCAAAAGAAGGTTGGCGATTTTGGTAGCCTACTTGCGAATCTGATTTCTGCGAATGCAGATGGCATATACAAATTATTACTTTTATAATCTATAAATGTTAAATCAAAGGTCAAGGCGGCCCGTCGTCAATATCGCCGACACTCACGTACACTCGAAATCGGATTGAGGTACGGGCGTGGACTGCGTACTTCAACTAAACTAGTGGTGGTTATGCTTTTGGAAGAGAAATGTGGTCACCATTCGTCCAACAAAGAAAAAGGAGGGCGGTCCTGTCTTTCAATCATTTTTAAATGATCCGCTAGTACCCATTCATATACCGATGATCAAATGCCACCGCCTACCCGTCTCAGAGGTAAGGATGGTGTACAAAAATTGAGACTATTTGTCCAGGCTGGTGGTTCACATTCGTCACTTCAGCACGTCTGAGAATGGCGCAAAGTACGCGGCGCTTCGCATGCGAAGAAATTCGTAACACATACAAAGTGTCTCTATTCCAAAGTACACTCCATATCCCGAAAATGAGGGAAGGCGTGGCTGCGTCCATCATTTGATTGTGGCGGTTGCTAGGTGTCTTGACATATTGTCGTTATGGACAATTGTAATCATTTGTTTGCCTAGCTCAAGTCATGATGACAGCTGGCTTAAGTAAAAATGTGCCACGGAAAACCATCTTCCGCCATGCCAGACGAGGTACGCAGCACGCACTCTCCATTTCAGGGATGTGGGATTGGTGATGCGCTCAGGAGTCGCCATCAGCTGTTCAAATTGTGAATGAATGCATACGGCCTGAGGAGGGCAAGATAACCTTTGGACGAGGTATGCCGCTATCGGAGTGCATTCGGCGGCGTGCGCAGCATATTTCCGACGTGCATAAAGCATATTTTTTTTTCGATATTTGAACAGTGTGGAACATGTGAATTCAGCAAGAGAATCGTAATTCACCGCGCTGATGGGCGTCGCGTGCGACGTCGCGCCCGCAAATGACGATGGTTCCAGGTAGTAGATGGCGACAACAGGCAATTCAGAACCGAAAATAGTCATGAATGTCTACGATGACGGGTCTACATGAAGTCCGGTGCTCCAGTCGACAGGTTAACACGAATTTGCCAAAACGCCGCGCCCATCGCCGCGCGCGGCGGGGCGGCAGATTACGGCGCGGTGCCGCACGGCGCCTCCTGGTTTCTGCGCCCGATTCTTCTGACAGGTAGCTGCGAATCGCAATGTATAAAGCTGTAGCGACAGTCAGTTGAGGGACGAAATGGATGGCTCTATTGAGCGCTTCCTTCAGCGTCGTTTCCTTGCATAGTGAATCTTTTCATGTTAGCGAATAATGCAGTTTACATATACAAGTTATTATTTTCAGGACAAATAAACGAAAGAAACTTAGCAGTGAGACAGAGGGAGCCGAAGCAAGTTTGGCAGATACAAATGTACTAGGTGATGGTCCACCACCTTCTCTCACACATGGTGAACTCTTAAAGCAAAAGAAGAAGAACATGGCCTTCCCGGTCAGTGAGTCTGTTTGATACGTATTTTTCTAGAATTTTTCCTGACTACAGTTCGCCTTTCAGAAAGGCACGTTCTTGGTACGTTATGCGGATTTGGATAGCGATGAATATGCTGGTCATATTTGGCTCGTTGATAATCATCAATTGCTTCAAAAGTATACTTATGACGGTTTAGATGCCTCTAATCTCAAAATTTTCAGTCGCACGGAGAGAGTAAGTATGACAATAAGTTCAGGGATATCTATTACTTGGTGAAATTCAAAACATTTTGCTGTTCTAGTATAGCGGATGGCTTTGCACATGTCCATGGTTGTATCATCCGCTTTCTGATGTCAGAGGAATACTCGGAAATATGGAAAAGGTAGAAGTTTTTTTTTGTTTCGTTCTGAAGCAATTGAAGGTAAATGTATTACGAATGCTGCGGAGGATTGTAGGTTTGGCACTGCGCCAAACATTTCTCCACTAATTGTGGAAGCTGGCAGGAGACACTGCGGCGTCCTAGTGTTCCATTCAGTAACCGATCTTGGCCTCTTATGGCTAGTGGATCACGTCGTTTCTTGTCGAATATATCTCTCTGCACTCTACGCCTAGTCCGAGCCTTGGGTTGATGGAAAGCTCAGAACCGACGGAGCGGTGTCTTCTCCGAACTTTGTTAGCGCCCAGAGTTTCACCACTGGGCTTTGGACCTGGTAAGCAGCAACACTTGCTGTTACCCCTAATGCTTGACGTAGAAATGAGCATGATGCTCATGGTATCTACTTTCGCTAGTAAAGCGGAAGCGACTGCTCGCACCCACTGTAATCGTCTGTACTAGTTGCGCATCTAAGACAGCCCATCGGCGCTCGATAGTGCAATGGTCGTGCCTTCCCATTGTGCAAGTAATTCGCCCCAAGCTGGAGAACTGTCCCACTCTCGCGCGACTCCACAGCGAGGCGAGGAGCGGTGCATACTGTCTGTTGAAACTCTAGTTCTAACGCCCGTCCGTAGTACCGCCGCACTTGCTCCGATGCCTGCTCTGACGGAAGAGCCGGCTAGCTGTTCTTGTTGGGGCGGCACGGCATTAATTCAGGACTTGCCTGCCCTTTTTGCTGACCGCGCTCGTCCATGAATAGTTCGCTCTTCCTTACATTTTATTTTAATAGGGAAGCCACATACATCAACTTCCAACCCATTTTGCAAGTAAAACGCGTAAAAACACCTGAGCGACCCAATTCTTCGTGGGCACAGCTCGACGCAAACACGCTAACACTAAAACATGGGCACGCTCACCTGAACTTAAACTTCAGAACGCCTGAATTTTTCTGAAATTTTATTCCTTTGAAGAGTTTTTGGTTCCATGTTTTATTGTTTTTCGTATTCATCTCATTGCATGATGATACCCACACTCTGGGAGATGTTTTAAAGAAATTGTGAGGCCAGGGGTTGGCAGCAGAACCGCAGGAATGTGCGCACACGGGAGAATTTTTGTTTGTGGTAATCTTGCGGACCCTATTGCTTTTTCTTCTTGGATAGTTTCAGGCGTTTCATAATTGCAAGAACAACTTCCATGACACCTATCCGGGAGCTGTCTTCATACGCTCGCGCTGTTCGCTTGATCGCCCGACGGCCTTTCACACACTATCAGTTGGAGCCGCGGCTGTGGCATCTTGAGATAAAAAAAATCATCCGTCTCCAGTTTTTTTGCCTTTCCATATCTGCAGGGTCTCTATAGAGGATGAATCTAGCCCGTCTCCGCTTTTGTGAAGCATCGGATCGCGAAATAAGAACGCTATCTAGGCTGAGCCCATGTGAGGAAGGCATTATTTTCTCGACGGGAGGGTGCAGACGTAATCGCTTCATGCCCCTCCCTAAACCACACAAGCTCCTGTGGTTCATCTGCAAGCTGCTCAGTGCCGAATATTAAGGTGTGTGTACGCAATCATCCGACGAGGGATGAATTATTTGCTAGGAGAGAAGAGGAGAGTAAAAAAGCACCAGATCCTGAGCCAGAACAAATGGATACGGCAGAAGAAGCAGTGAATTCTGACACAGAACACCTATGCGATGAACATGAAGCCATAATGGGACTGCCAGATGATTCACTGGGTGAAATGCCTCTGTTCAAGACAGAGGAACCAGATATTGTATGAATTGATGAGTTGTTTGTATGTGTATGTCTATAGCTTTTGAGTCTCTCGATCAGCTAATTTGACGCTTAACACAATATTTTAACGTATTCGTAGCAATAGCAGCATGACATTGTCATGAGACACCCAGCTGTTTTCCTTTCAGTTACATCTTTTTTGGACGTGGTAAAATTTCACTCAAAATACAAATTATTGATTTTCATTCAGAGTTTTTCGGTACCCTAGGATCAACATGCAAACGGAACCAGTTCGGCTATGCACAGCAGTCTCCTAGCTTTTCATATTCTTGAACAGAAATCAGCGGTCCGAGAAGGAAGTAGGCTATTGTATGACCTGGAATCGAATAATTAAAAGCAAATGTCTCCATGAGACATTCGTGGTAGTGCGGCTCCAACAGAGATGCCAAAAAAATCAGAGATGCAGAAACAACAGAAAGAAATCGTCACGTGCCCCAAATAGAACTCCCTAGCGAGTGTATCTGTACTAGCAAGGGGTGTGACCGAACGAGATCACCACATGGTGGTGTTGTGGTCGATAGGTCGCTGCAGTTCGACCATATCCACCTGTTTTTTAATTGGCAACAATGTCCCTACCACACTCTTTAGCGTGTCTTCTGCTACATGGCTGGGTAAAATGGCGGGAGGGGCCTGTGAAGGTGGGTCGTACCACTGAGAGGAACAACGGTATGGGTGCCCTCTCCCCTCGCTTCCACGCTGTAACTACACTCTAGTTCGCTGCGGACGGTTGGGCGTGTCAGGCAGTATGAGTGTGTCACCCCGTCAAAGCCGTTCTCTGCCTTCTTGTTGAAGCGCGCATGCGACAAAAAGTGGTAGAAAACGAGTAATACGAACGATATGATACAGTCATATCATTTGCTCGCTTTAACAACTGGTGGAGAACGGGTTTGGCACCGCGCCAAACTCATCCCGCTTGACACGCGTAACCGTCCTCGAGACACTGTACCGAGCCATTTAGTCGGCTGATATAGATAACGCGCTACTGCAACGATAATCGTCAAACCGCGGCAAGTGCTACTTTAGCCACAGCTGGGGAAGAAGTCGTGTTTACGAACCAACGATTCAAAGGCGGAGCGCTTCTTACATCGAATTTGGTACTCATGGCTCGACTTTATGAAAGGTGTTGAACATCAAGCGCGTTGGGGTCCCACGGTCGTCCTACTTCCATGCGCGAAGTGTCACTTTTTGGCACGCTCTTGTACCGCACGACAACCCGCTTGTTATGCTCCTTCTGTCGCCCGTATATTTTCTTATACACACATTGGTGGAAAAGCAACACTTGAATTTAGGCTGAAATGGAAGCATAAAGAGTTCGATTACCTAGTATAAGACTGAGAAATATTGGGACGTTGTACGTCATTGAGATCATCATCAGAGCATATGCAATGAACATTTGTACGAAGTAAATAGTGGACGACAACATGTGTAGAGGACGTTTTAAATTGGACAGAAGCAGTCTGCAAAAATAAAAATTGAATAGTTTTCTTCAGTTCTGTATGGTCAACGGGGGTGGTGGCCAAGAGATGGACGTTGCTGTGAAAGGCGGAAGCGACATTTCTAGCTCGAGTCGGCTCATCAGAGCATCAGCGTATCAATTAACCTGGATCCAGATGGGTTCTGCCCACTTGAGGTGTCGTTTCCGCTTCGCCACCGCCAGCGTAAATCTCTTGTCCGGTACCCGATCAAAGGTGTTGAGCATTACTCCCGAGTCGCTGTATCGCGCAGACTAACAGAGCTAGTTTATTTCGGGAGAAAGAGAGTACGAAAAGAGAAGCTGGACACTATTAGACCGAGAGAGAGTTCGCCGACGTGAGAAACGCAGAGAGAGAGAGAGCAGAGCGACAGACACGCGGCGGCGCTGCCATATCCAGTGAATTGGGTCCTGGCGCGAATGCTGTGTATGTCGTACCGCATGCAATACCTGTATCGTCGCACTCGGAAGTATACTCCACACCCCAGACTCGGAAGTATGCTCCACACCCTGGTCAAACTGCGCAGAACAGAAACTCACGGTGATTCTGCTTTCCTGTGTCCATCCGCAATACCACAAGGCATTCCTGGCACTACCGTGCTTCCATGAAGAGACCCAATACTTGTGTCACAAGCACACAACTAAAAAAAGATTAGTTCAAATCCGTAAAGATTATAGTCAGCCTTCAGAATAAATCCCCACATGTTGTTCGTTCACAGTCCTCTCGATACCCAAGCGGCCAAGCTTCACAATTTCGTAGAAGGCAGCTATCAATGCAACCGCGAAGCACGAGAAGACATAGCCTGAATGTGTAGATTAGTCCCTTCACTTAGCGCTGTCGCTGCGGGTTCAAACTATCAGGATTTGATCGAGAAAAAGGAAAGACAGTCCTGCGACGACAGCACTGCGCGCTGAATGAGTCCTACGACAGTTGATCAGTGTGGTCGTCCCCTTGTGGACGGCCCAATCACTACTAGGTTGTTATTCCCCCCTGAATCTATCACCTTTTACCGAACACCATTGTAGGCAGGACAGAAGAAGGCGAGGGCTCACTCCGCCTCTCATGACACGCCTTGAGTGGTTGTGACAATGTCAACTACGAGTAGTGCTTTGGTTGGTCTCAGTGGGTTCCTAGGAATCAAAAACGAGAAGGTCGAAAGGAAAATTGAACGCTATAGCGAATAGCTAGAAAGCACACATCACCTGTCATTTTCACACGCCATCCTTCCGAAGTTAGTATCGGTTCTTGGAATACGAAGTGTAAGTACATCTCATGCTTCATGATTTCCGCGAGATCTGAGGTCCATTCATTACGCCTTTCGCTGGCAGGCGCTGGGGGGCGTGTCAGGGGAAGCTGGGTCTGGATATCCCACCAATTGTTGTCGTTTGTTCTCTTCAACAACTGGTGGAGAACGGACTGGCGCAGCTCCGAACCCCCTCCTATCACGCCTCAGCGTCTGCAGCGAAAACGGCTGTACATGTCATTGATAACACCGAAGAAAAGAAAGACTTGCGCAACAAGGCGTTTTCAGTAGCGTTGGAAAAGAAACCACTTGATGAATGTAATGATTTATTACAGGAATATGAGTAGCCGTTTAGGAGATCCACGTTGCGGCAACGCAATGAAAGTAGCTTCATGCGCCAAGTGCGGGGCACTCGCACCGGAGCAGATTTATTTAGTGTGAAGTTATAGTAGTACACCAATCAGTTAGGATCAAGCTATAAATCGGTCTGCTATTTTCTACGCGTCGCCGCAACGCGGACCTCCCAACCGACACCAGTAATATGAGATCAATTTAGCAGCATCTGGTGGTATTCTGTTCAAAAGACACGTCGGAACCTTCCTTCAGTTGCCGAGAACCGAACAGAAGAAATCCCACACCTAGAGTTGTTAGGATGAGAATGTCCTGGCATTACTGTTTCTGAGATTGCGCCATGAACTCAAAATGGCTTATGAATGTGAAAGGTGAAATCAACGAACCTGCTCCTACACATACTGCGATTCCAAGCCATACAGAGAACGTCATGAAGACGAGCATCAGAAAATAGCTGAGTACCAACTGGACACCGAACAATACCGTCTGCAGGATGTGTGTGTAGGAGAACAGCCGAGTCACGTAACTGTAACTACGAACGAATCAAATGACTTCATTCAGCTTCCACTTCAAACTGGGCACTTCTCAAATCAAATAGGATGTTTTATATTAATTGGACATTTTCCAAGTCATTTTGGACAGTGTTAAATCTAACTGGATGGCATCTATATGTTAACAGATGCTCAATCCATAACTGAAAGCTACAAGAGGTGTAGCTGCGGATGCGGCTATGACTACGATTATAAAGACGGAAGAGGACACCAATACAACCGGTCGTTGGGACGTCTTTTCCGCCCT